ACTTTTACTCAAGTATCACTTTGTGGTACTTTATACAACACTGCTTGTATGCAGAAATATGAACACATTTAAAAACATTGCTTTGGCTTTCTTTTCCCTCGTCTGTTGGGTTGACCTGGAGAAATTTGGAGAGGGCGAGCTATTTTTCTCTCTTAGAGGACTCATCCCATCCGTCAGGCCTGTCTGGTTGCGTCCCCATTTAAGACAGCCCCTATCTCAGCCCACAGCTGTGCGCCTCTGTGGTGCAARTTGTGGATTACTGGAAGGCAGGGGACGAGACTACCACAGAACTTGCCCCCCTCGACTCCTTATCCTCTGCTGCAGGAGGTTAAAGAGGAAATGCGCTCCCAGATCCACAGCAGACCGCAGGAAATAACAGACGCCAGTTTGTGGGTGAGTTCGGCGATGGAGAGCTCCAACTTTACGCACGGGTCTGTATCCACCAATGAGACGGTTCTTATGAGCAGAACTCCCCACTCCAACTCGACGGAGATCGCTTTGCCTGTTTTTATGTTCGCTGGTGGAGCCATTGGGAATCTGATCGCGATAATCGTCCTTTCAGGGTCGCGACAGCAGAGGAAATCCTCCGCTTTCTACTCGCTGGTGTGCGGTCTGGCGGTGACGGACCTGCTGGGCACCTGCTTGGCCAGCCCYCTCACTATAGCCGATTATTTGGACAAACATGTGCTGAGGAACCAGCGCGTGTGCGAGTTTCACTCCTTCTTGTTGTTGTTTTTTGGTCTGACCGGTCTGAGCATCATCTGCACCATGGCGGCGGAGCGCTACCTGGCCATCTGCGGGCCCTACGTGTACCAGCGCTGGGGGGTGGACCGCTGCTTCGCGCGGAAGTTCCTGCTCTTCATTTACATCAGCCACATTTTCTTCTGCTGCCTCCCCATGATGACGGGCGTGGCGCGGAGCGATCTGCAGCCGTCCGGGACCTGGTGCTTCATCGACTGGAGGACCGCCTACACACGGCTGTACGGGGCCGTGAGCCTGCTGCTGATCCTGGGCACCATCGTGCTGAACCTGGCGGTGTGCGGCGCGCTGCTGCTCATGCGCCGCAGGAGCGCGCGGAGGAGCGTGACCACGGCCAGCGTCASGGGGAGGTGGAGGGCCCTGTCATCCGCAGCAGAGACGCAGATGATCGCGGTGCTGGTGATGACCTCCGTGCTGGTTCTGACCTGTTCCGCCCCTTTAGTGGTGAGTAACTGACAGGAAGCCCTAACTGATGACGCACAGTTATGGTTTTGGACTGTTAGGCAAGCTCAGATGTGCTGGAGCAGAGGCAATTAAAACATGCAGATTAGTGGCCCTCCAGGACCATGATGCAAGGGTTCCCAACCCTGGTTCTCGAGAAACCAGATCATGCATGCTTTAGATGAGTGAATAACAGGCTTCTGAAGAATCTGAAGATCTGCTGAAGAGCAGGGAAACAATTAAAACATGCAGGATAGTGGGCCTCAAGGACCAGGCTGGGAACCAGGACATCAAAGTGATACATGAATGAAAGTAACTTAATCTATTCATAGGAAAAGTCTCCTCCAAGAAAGTAATTGACATTTATTGTACTTCTGATATGAAATGTAAATAAAGGTAAAATATAGTTAGAATTTCCTAAAATTGCATTTAATTGGAAGTGATCCCCGCCCCAAAAAATGTTTTCTAAAGGCCATAATGATGTAATGGTAATATAAAAATGTGGGATTCACATGTTTTAGCCACGATCTTCATACTAGCCGTCTTATATGTCCTGCTGGAGTGTGACATGATTTGTGTTATGGGCTGTATAAACCAAAGAGGTGTGGGAATAGTAGCCTATGTGTTTATACTTCTCATCCAACCACAATTCAGTTCACTCTATGTGGGAGGTGCCATCTGGATACTGTTTTTTTTAAAACAATAACAAGCTGTAATAGGAGTAAAATTAAAATATAAGGAGTAGACGTAAAATAAAGTATAGATAACCAAAATTTCTACATTTGTAAAGTAACAAAGTATTTATATGTAATTAAATGAAACCTCTGCCTGGATTGAACAGCCCTTTTTTTTTTTTTTT